CCCAACCTTCCTTCCGAGGAGTGGCTGGTGGGTTTGAACCGCCAGCCTTCTGGTTAGCCGTCAAGTGCCTTAGGCACTATGCTACCAGAGCTCCCTGTTAAGGTATAGCATCATGAAATTTCAAAACACTGAGGACAAACAGAAGTTCCTAAAGGCCTTCAGAAGAAAAATCAGATTACATACAACAGCATCAAACAGCTCAATAGCAACCTGGATGCTAGAAGACAGTGAAGCAACAAATTCAAAATTCTGAAGGAAATATTTTTCAGTTTAGAATTCTATACCCAGTCAGGCTATTAACTTAGCATCAAAGCAGAACAAAGATATTTTTCAGACATCCAATGACTCGAAATATATATCTCAACACCCTATCTTAGAAAACTACTAGAGAAAGTACTGTAACAAAACAGAGGAAAAAATAACAGTAAGAAGGAACCCAGGAAAAAAGGGATACAACACAGAAGAATTACGAAGTCCCAATCTGACAATTTTGCACCAGGCCAGAGAACAACTAGAACAGATTTGGAAAGCACAGAGTAAGTTATGAGAGAGGTCTTTAAAACCATAACGAAAGTGGCACACTATTTGACGTGTTCAAGCATTTGGAAAAAACCATTATTGAGCACTTGACAGGTCTAGTAGAACATTGGGAAAAAATATAGTGATTGGTACAAAAATAACAAATCAACAAATAAACAAAGATAATTATTAAAAATAAAAGTAAAAGATTATGTACAACTAGGAAAACTAATCACAGTTTCTACTGTGCCCAATAGTGCATTATATATACTGTTGCAACAATACACAATACACAAGCTGTCAGGTGCAGGGTCTGATTGCATAATTAGTGAGCAGGTAGGAAATGCTTAAGGTCAGAGGTGAAGGGTCAGCCTAGACTAGGGGTAAGCTAGAGGACTGCCCTTGGATGAAGGGCTTTATTTTAACAAGGCCTGGCTGGTGTTGAGAGCTGCTTCAGGGAAAGATCCTTAGTTACTTTCCGGTGGGCCACTAGCACCTATCATAGTGGCTTACAGATATGAAATTAAAAATATATTTATAATGAATTAATTTACATAGTTTAACTTTTTTCATGTGTTTTTTTTTCCTCAAAATTCATAATCTATAAAATAGCAATATAAAATTTTGTTTAAAAAGTCTTATTTTTGCTGGTAAATACCAACAAAAACCAGAAAGTCACTGCTTCAACTTGAACTAAGGATAGAGAGAGGCAGAGAACTACTATTTTCATTATAAGCCTTTTAGAACTTTAAAAAAAAAAAAAAAAAACACCTCTGTTAACAGTGACTTAGTGGTAGAACTTCAGGATGTTTAAATTTTTTTTTTTCTTGACTTATTTAAATCTTCTATAATTTTTCTGTAATAATACTGTATTACTTACATAATTTCTAAAAATGTTAAATGTTACATTGTTCACAACAAAAAGCCACACCATGTAAATATTAAAAACCCTGCACAAATCAGAGACTGAACTTCACACCTTCCGTTGGGGCCTTACCTTTTATCGTGGTCAAAATGAAGAAAGCAATGAGGGTGTTGTTGATTGCACAGGTAGACTTGGCAACACAAGACAAGATCGTGTAGGGATTTAAGAGATAGCTGGGGAAGAACACACATATTTGGCATTAGTAATCCTGGTAAATGAACCAGAAGTTCTGGCCACCACAGCCACTGAAGTCAAGAGATTTACTAAAAGCATACTCGAAGGGCAGCAAATTCTTCTCTTTTACCGCACTCTCTTATTTGAGTCTTCTCAAGTAAACGAGAACGAACTGGGGGTTGGGTTATAAATAAAAGGCACTGAACACTGTCTATTTTGTGCTATTTAGTGAATGTAAAACTGTCACATTTAATCATTACACAAATCCTATAAACCAGCAGTAATATTCCCATTTAGCAGATGAGGAAATTGAGATTCAGCAGTTAAATAATTTGTCCAAAGTTTCACAAGCTAATAAATACATTCAAATTCCTGTCCTTCTGACTCTAAAGCCTATGCTCTTTCTACTATTTCAGACTTTAAAAATGGTAACATTAAAAAAAAAAAAATGGTAACAACGTCTACCAAGTTCCACAAAGCCATACATATTAAGAACGACTACAGCTATTTTTTCCCCAATCAGGTTCCTAAGCTCTGACATGGGCTACGCCAGATGAAGAGGTCAGATGTGTCGTTAGGTGCCAGTGAGTTGGCTCTTACTCATGTGATCCTGTGTACAACACAATGAAACAATGCCTGGTCCTGTGCCATCCTCACAGTCTTTGCTATAACTGGGCCCATCGTTGTAGCCACTGTGTCAATCCATCTTATGGAGAGTCTTCCCCTTTTTTGCTGACCCTCCACTTTACCAAGCATGGTATCTTTCTCCAGGAACTGGTCCCCTCTGACAACAATGGCTGGACAAAGCCTAGCCATTCCTGAGGTCAGAGTAGAGCTTAGATTTAGCCCGCCTGGTAATCACGCAGTACCCAATGAGCTAGACTCCAAAGGTAGAATAAGTATCTGCTGAATCCAACAAGCCGGCTGCTAAAAGCTTCATGGGACATCTTGACCTTCCACTGGGAATAAGTCAAAACACTTAGTCTTTTCCTGACATGAGAAGGAATGGCCTGAGAATATGAATTTGAAATGCTTGTGAGTAGGGAAAGCTTATATAATCATGATGGATACTATTTTTATTTCTATCTTACTTCCACAAAGGATGTAAGGAAGTTTAAAAAAATATATATAGCAAAATAAAAATAGAAATGAAAACTCAAGACCAGGGAAAATATAAGTAAATAGAGAAAGTAAAGGTCAGGTAAAGACCCAAATAGGTCTACTACAGCATTATAATAACTCACTGCCATTAAGATGATTAGACTCATAGCAACCCCTTCTTGGGTTTCCGAGGCCACATCTCTACGGAAGTAGACTGCCTAATCTTTCTTCCAAGGGGTTGCTGATGAGTTTGAACTGGCAGCCTTTTGGTTAGCAGTCAAATGCCTTAGGCACTATGCCACCAGAACTCCCAGCATTGTAACAATCAGCTTTAAATCTAGCTCTGAGTTTCCTGGCAGAGAAAGTGAAAAGGGAGACTAGTTACATAATTCTGATTATCAGATAGGAAGAAAAACACCAGTGTCTCAGGAAGAGATTATAATTATTATCCACAAATAAAGACCTGAAATCCAGTACCTCCCAGGGCTGTAAGATTAGTAGTTCTGAAGCCAGGCCTAGAAATTCTTGGGTTTTTCTTTTTTTTCTTTTCCAGCCATTATAGATAGGTTTGTTACAAAATCTTTAAAGAAATGGCTGCTGTTATTACAAAACCACCCCCTAGAGACAGAGTCCATAAGGGATTCATATGCTGCTAAACCTCTGGTTCTATTAGGTAGTTCTCACTAATATTTCTGCAATACATAGATGGAAACTGATACCCCAAGCTACTTGTAAGAGGGGGGGAATCAATGCTAAGTAGCAGGTGATGTTCAAGAAGTTGTATGACTACCTATCTGGGATACTGGGATTCACAGAGAGGGTTGAATAAACTGTCCCTATCAGACCCCTTCTAATTCTGAAGTTCTGAGGTCATGTTTTTACATGAGGAAACTTATCTGTCCTGTTTACTGTGTATTCCTAGCAACTAGTATATTATTAATATTCAGTGACTATTAGTTGACTGAACAATTATTTGCATTTGCCTATCTCAGGAATATAAATGGGAATAACCTGAAAGAATTAAATGTACTGGCAGCACTGAGTACTCCTAGAGAATTTTTTCATAGAGCCTCAGCAAGTTCCACCCTTCCACATTGGTCACTGAGCTGGGACAGGTCTACATTTGGTGCTTACTTCAGTTTTCTGAATTACAAAAGGGGGATTAAATTATACAAGAAACATAGGAGCTGCTTGGAAAAAGCAATCACATAAAGATCAGAATTTTATTCAATCCACATATCAAACTTGAAGAACTTTTTTTTTCCCCTTGTAGAAACACTGGTTACAAAGGGGCTAGAGCCCAGATCAGCACCAAGTCAAAAGCATCTGTGAAAGGTCTGATTGTGCATGTATGTCCCTGTGTGAGTCTTTGTCCCAAAAGAGACAGAATGGCTCTGTGTTTTTTGCTGCCAGAACCCCATTGTGCCACAGAACTACAGCAAATACTCGATGACTAAGACTGAAAATCTCAAAAATACAACAAACAACATGGGAAAATCTCATCATATTTTCCTCATATTTGCTGGCATTGAGCCTGTTTTCTCAGGGAATACTTACAACAGGGCCACTTTTAGAGGGATGTAACGCATTTCCATAGGGGTTCGGATGAGTTCAGCCACATCTGGGGCATACTGATCCAGTTCTAAGAGGAGTTTCTGCTTTTTAAACTGGAAAAAATGGCAAAACACATGAAATAAATTACTTACTTCCCACTGCTCTTAGGATGAAGACAAAAATCCTTTACATGGCTACCTGGCCCTGCCAAGTCTGGCCCTACTCTTCAGGCTTATCTCACACCCACTCCCATCTCACATTTTGGGTTCCAGTACCATAAACATGCCAAGTCCCTCCCACTCCCAGACCTCTGCATTTGATCTGGAACAACCTCTTCTCCTCTCCTCCTAGTTAACTCCCACACAGTCTTTAGATCTCAACTAAATCATCACGTTCTCAAGAAGGCATGCTTGACTTCCCCAACTAGGTAAAATCCCCCTATTACGTAAGCTCTTTCATAGCACTGTTTACAGGTATAACTATTTTTTAATTAACTCACATGATTATCTTGACTAACATCTGCCTCCCTCACCACTTCCATGAAGGCAGGGACTATGTTTGTTTGCTCACCATGTATTCCCAACACCTGGCATAGTGGGCAGTCAATAAATACCCAGTGAATGACTGAATGAATGACTGACCGACAAAGTTCCTAGCCATCATAAAAAGTTCTCCTCAGTGGCCTAAGTTCCAAAGTTCCGTCAACAAAGCAAAATATTTTCACCCCAAGTGAAAGATCCTATGAATGTCACAATATCCTGGGTTTTCCTCCTTATGCTCCTGTTTAAAATGTTTGACTTCCATAAAGGAAGAAGGAAATGACCATGAGGAAGAGAAGGAAGAGAAGAGCTAGGTGTGGCTGAGCAGCTAGAGAGTTAAAAGAAAGGAGGATAGAGGCAGAACGTTGTCACCTTCCCTGGTGCGTCCCAACAAGTCCATGGGTGTGTTTGAGAATGAAAAAAAGCTGGGCAACTCTACAAGCAAACATGGGTCAGAACATAAATGGAAAAAACCTCTGGGCCTGAAATGGGTAGCCTACTAATTTATTGGTCAGAGAATCTTATTTACTGTATTAAGTCAACTGCCATATTTTAGAAAGCACAGTATTTCACAGGAGCCAAGGTAGCAAATGTCTAATTACCTGTGCAAGCTAAAGATTTGATGATGAAAAAAAGCAGATCACAATAGACTATATACTGCATTGTACCATTTACATAAAATTAAAAGCATGTGAAATAATTATGTGTTATTTAGGAATTCACAGTAAAAGTATAAGGCCATGTGTATAAATGATAAACACTAAATTCAGAACAGTTATTGGGAAGAGAAGAATAGGAGATAAAGCTATCAGACACTGTACGTGTCATGTTTTATTTTTGAAGCTGTATGTATGTATTAAAGTAAGTATGTATTATAGTGTAATATTCTTTATGTATTTTTGCATGTCTTCAGTATTTCACAATTTTTAAAAAATTTAAATTTGAACTAACATTTTAAAGGAGCATCTTTCAGTTTAAAAGAAAGTCAAAGGGTCATCATAGGGAAAACCCCAGCTTTCTTGCACAGTTTTAGTCAGAGAATCAGAAAACCTGAACTTCAAAACCTCTCTTTGGTCACCTCTGTTCCTTCACAGCCTACAGTATCTTTAGACAGTTAAATGGTGGGAATGATCATCAGTCAGATTTCGGTTGCCGTTCAAAGCCAGGGTTGTTTAATTAAAAGGACAAAGTATAAATGAAGACAATTTTATCAGGAGAGAAGGGTACTGGCTCAGCAAACAGAGTTTAATGAGGATAGCTACAGCAGTGACAGAGGGAAGGCCATCCCACCAGCTAAAAGTTGTGGAGGTCTGAGGCCAAAAGAAGCTACCTGGAGGGTGTGAGATCCGAAAAGAAGGCTGTCAAAAAACAATAGGGAGTTCCCACAAGGGAAGCCAGAGAGACAGGTGGCAATGCAGACACCTTCTCCAGGTGGAAAGCCAGCCAGCAGGGCTGCAGTACGAGATGGAAGCAACTCTAAAGAGATGTGTAGACCGTAGGCAAAGTTAACACCATGCCAGCAGTGAAAGAAAAGTCCTTCCTTGTAACTCCAGTCTTCAAAAATACTTTAAAACAGAATCATTTGGAGGCAAAAAAAAAACAGAAGGTGGGGACCAGGTTTGCTGGTCCAATGGAGCCTGGTGTAACCACTGAGACTATGGCCCCTAGCTGCCCTGCAGGTCTGGAATTGAACCCACAACTGTGGTTTCCAGCCAAACAAAGTACAGGCATGTGAGTTAAACATTTACCTCAAGTAGACACACGCCCTGGAGAGAACAATCATGGGAGAAGGAAGGGCTGCTTATGCACAGGGAGATAGCTCGGTGCAGAAGAGTATGAAGGGATGGACACTGGGAGGAGGTAACTATGGGGAGGAAGTGGGAGGGGAGCTGCTGCATTGTAAATTTTGGTCAATGACATGAGACAAAGTATATGTGAACTGCTGTATGAAAAGTGAATTTACTCTGTAAATCTTCACCCAAATCCTAATAAAAAAAATAAAATAAAATACTTTAAAACAGAAAGACCTTCCGAAAGGAAACTCTCTACGAGGGAAGAGTCCCCAGAGTCTCTGCTTCCTTTATTGCACAGCACAACCTCATAGACCCAAAACCCAGCTCCCTTCAGCACAGACAAAATCCTTTCAAAAAATCCCCATTGGACGCTAAGGTCAATCGCATAACACAGTCCATGAAGACAATGTTCTACATCCTACTTCAGTGAGCAGCAACTGGGGTCTTAAAAACTTCTGAGCAGCTATCTGAAACATACTGGTCCCTCCCTGTCCAGAGCAAAGAAGAGTGAAGAAAATCAAAGATGCAAAGAAACAAGTAGTCCAAAGGACTAATGGAGCATGTGAACCCCAGACTCCATGACCCTGAGACAAGAACAAGACGGTACCTGGCTACCAGGGCTGACTGCTCTAAAGAGATCACAATAAAAGGTCCTGGATAGAGTGGGTGAAGATGTGGAACAAAACTCAAGATCATAAAAAAGACCAGGCTTATTGGTCTAATGAAGACTAGAAGAATCACCAAGATCATGGCCCTTGGACACTCTTCAAGCTAGGAACTGAACTTAACACCTGTGACTCAACTGGGAGCCAAACAATAGACCTATAAGGTGAACAGTGATATCAGGAGGGTATGTACTCATTAAAACAATCAAGAATATGAGATCAAGAGGACAGCATTTGCCCAGGGGTAGAGCTAGAAAGACAGGAGGGATAGGAAAGAAGGATGAAGGGAAGGGGTGGGCCCAGGGAAGAAGTAGAAATAAGGCTGTTATAGTGTAGAGATTACAGTTACTGTCATAAAACAGAACGCTTATGGATTGCTGAATGGAAAACCAATTTGCACCGTAAACTCTGACCCCAAATCACAATAAAAAAACTAAAATTAAAAAAAAAAATTAAAATCCCCATTGCATCCAGCTAGAAACAGAAGTTGGCTAAAAACACTAAGGACAATGAAAAAATAAATACCAAGAAAATATTAGAAATATAAAAATAAATGTGGTTTGGGAGTACAATGCATGTCTAGCTATATTCAGCAGCCTTGACTGGTGAGATATAAAAAGCTCACAGAAGAGATTAAAAGTGACCTGTAGTTACATGGGTGTATTACCTTTGTGATCATTAATCAAATTGTACACAGATGCTTGCACACTTTTTTATATATGTTAGTCATATATATGATAGTCAAATATACACATATACACACATATAAATGTATATATACATACACATATATATTTGTGATAGACATATATAAATACTATCAAACCAAAACCAAACCCACTGCCATGGAGTCGATTCCAACTCACAGAGCACCCCAATTGGGTTTCTGAGGTGGTAAATCTTTACAGAAGTATATTGCCCCATCTTCCTTCCATGGAGTGGCTGCTGGATTTGAACTACAAATCTTCTGGTTAGCAGTCAAATGCCTTAGGCACTGTGCTACCAGATAAACTATATATAGTGATGGGTATAGACACAGATTTATTTTTCCCAGTACTTTATATAGAAAAATTTCAAACTACAGAAAAGTTGAAGGAATAGTTTAATAAACATCCATACCTAGATCTCCCAATTGTTAACATTTTGCCACTTTTCCTTGATCTCTACACACATATTTTTTTCTTTTTTGCTAAGTCATTTGAAAGCAAGTTGCAGACATCATTAACACTTCACCCCTAAGTATTTTAGCACAGGCTTGTGTGTTGCTATGATCCTCTGATAGTTAATGTTACGTGTCAGCTTGGCTAGGCCATGATTCTCAGTAGTCTGGCAGATACTATGCAAACATCTTCCGTTTTGTGACCTGATGTGAGTAGCCAATCAGCTGAAAGGGGAGTTTCCTTGGAGGTGTGGGCTGTACCCAATAAACAATCATGTGCAGCATAACGTCTATTCAGCCAATGTCCAACCACATATACATCCACGGTCCTAATCCCCATAAAGCCTATTATATTAAAAATTCAAGGTACACACAATGGTTCATAATAACAAATAGGTTCTACTTTGCATCTTGCATCAAAATGTTATTACTATTATTACTGCATTATGTTAAAGATGTCTTAGTGTATCTTTAATGTTTTTTACACATAAAGAGGTACACTATATACTATATACACCTACTCCTCACTTACCAACATGGCTTGGTTCTAAAGACCATGTTGTTACACAAAATGGAGGATGACAACATCAGATCACAAAATGGAGGATGATTATGTTATTATATAACTGCCAAATCACTGAGAATCATAGCCCAGCCAAGTTAACACATAACCTTAATCATTACAGCCAGTACTGTTACTCTCACTTCATACCTCAGTGTTCAGTACTGCCAGACATACATCATTAATGCACAAAACAGTTGGATAGATTTTTTACTATTTTTGTAAATGAGAAATGTTGAGTCATGAGAGAGTCAATAAGAGAGGAGTAGGTGTATTATAATATATCTACTAAGACAAATATTTGACTGATGCTAGATATGAAAATACCTAACTGTTCTGACTTAAGTACAAATTCAACTTAAAGACAGACTTAGGAACACAACTTGTTTATAATTCAGGGACTGTATACAATATGATGTTCACACAATGCCCAAATTACATCTTATTTCACAGAACGTACTGTGGATGTTAAGTGACGCATAATTATATATGGATGTTCTGGTAAAGCTCCCTCTCTCTTGATCCTGAAACTGACTTGTCATCCTTCAATCTCCAGTTGTTAGGATGTGAGCCAACAGCCTGCTGCCTTACCAACAGATTTTGGGATTCACTAGTTCTCTCAACCCATGAGCCAGTAGCCGTCCGTCTGACCTACCATTTTTTAGTTTGTCAGTCCCCACAAACCACATGAGTCAGAAGAAGCCTCTAGCCTGATGCCTGACCCATGGATTTGGGACTTGGAAACCTCCATAACTGAGTGAGCCATTCCTTTAAAATAAATAAATCTCCCTATATATACCAGAAGGCTAGTGGCCACTCCTCGGAAGGAAGATTGTACAATCTATTTCCATAGTGATACCACCTCTGAAACCCAAGGAGGGATCACTGTGAGTCAGATCTGACTCGACAGCAGTAAATTTTTTTTTTTTTCCTTAATACTTATATATAATTTCACTGACTTTGCTTCTCTAGAGAACCCAGCCTAAGACAGATGCTGAACAGGTTCAAGCAGAGGTTCCAGACCAAGGCAGACTAGGAAGCAAGGCCTGGTGACCTACTTCCAAAATAATCAGCCAATGAAAACCCTATGGATCACAATTGTCCAATCCTGTTGGGCATGGAGTCTCCATGAGTTGGGGACCAACTCAACTGCAGCTAACTACAAACCCACTATGATTCCTATAATTCATAGCAACCCTTTTAGGGCAGAGCAGAATTACCCTGTAGGGTTTCCAAACCTGTAAATCTTTACAGAAGCAGATTGCCTCATCCTTATCCTGCAGCGTGGCTAGTGGGTTTAAACCACCAACTTTTTTTTGTTGTTGTTAAAAGCCCAATGCTTTATCAGATGAGCAATTACCTGAGGTAGATATACTCCTTCAAGAGAATAAGCATGAGAGAAAGAAGGGCTGCTCAGGCACAGGGAGACAGCTCAGGGGGTAAGAGTGCATGGAGAGATGGACACAGGGAAGAGGTAACTATTGGGAGGAAGTGGGAGGGAAGCTGTTGCATTGGGGTAAAATGTAGTCAATGTTATGAGACAAAGTGTATGTGAACTGATGTATTGGGAGGAAGATGTTGCATTGTGCTAAATTGTGGTCAATGTCACAAGATAAACTGCTGTATGGAAAGTGTATTTGTTCTGTAAATTTTCACCCAGATCACAAAAAAAAAAGAACTGTGAAAATAAAAAAGCCCAATGCTTTAACCACGATGCCAGAGCTCCTTTAACTACAACAGCAACTTGAAAAAACAAAGACTGTGATCCACATACACAGTCTACTTAAGGAAAAAATAACTACTGCTAATTCATATTTGGGAGCTCTGGAAGCATAGTGGCTAAGACACTTGCCTGCTCACCAGAAGGCTGGCGGTTCAAACCCACCAGCCACTCCTCGGAAGGAAGATTGGGCAATCCTACTTCCGTAGTGATACTGCCTAGGAAACCCAAGGAGGGGTCGCTATGAGTCAGGGCTGACTCGACGGCACATAATAACAACAACAACAATTCATATTTGGATCCCTCAGTTTATGAATCTCATGCTAAGTTATTTCATCACGGTCAGAAGAACTTGTGAAAGCATTTCACCTAAGCCCTTAAAATTTTCAAGTTACATTACTTTAGTTTAAGATGTACACTCCCTGGTCATGGTGATACCAAGTCTCTAAATGTAGTTCCTAAACTTTTAGGGGTGAAGGCAAGGATATCTTTGAGCACCAATAACAGCTATGGACTCTACTAAGAAAAACATCATATACACACACAATTTTCCATACCATTTTAAGGGTTTCACAGACACCTTAAGCCTATGAGTAGAACTCAAGTTAAGAAACCCAGTTTACATATTATTAGCTCTCTTTGAGATCTAAAGTTTTAGAATTCATTAGCTTTATTTGTTTCTAATGATAATGACCAGTGCCTTCTAGAACCCACTGTCATCCTATCAATTCCGACTCATACCAACACCATAGGAGAGCAGAACTGCCCCCCAGGGTTTCCAAGGCATCTTTAAAGAAGCAGACTGCTTCATCTGTCTCCTGTAGAGCAGCTGGTGGGTATGAACTACCGACCTTTTGGTTAGCAGTCAAATGCCTTAATTCCTGCACCACCAGTACTCCTTAATTAGGTCTGAAGTTTATATTGATACCTCTAGCACATTAACAACTCTTCAACAAGCATTTAATACATGCCAAATTTTCCAATTAAGATTGCTCTAGCCAGAGAAGCAGAAACTATATTGGGAATCCAATTTTCCTTCAGACAGGTATAACACATTGGATTAAAAGCTCTATAGGCAGTCCCCGGGTTTCAACCAAGACCCATTCCTAACAGTTGTGGTGTCTTTAAGAATGCTTAGGTGCATACAAGTGCAGAACAGGTGCGTACAGTTCTTATTTAGTCTTACTTTAGTGCAAAAAATGCCTCAAAGCCTTTTCAGTGATTTAAAAGCTGCACTTGTAGCAAGTGAAGGTTATTGTGATGAAGAACTTGGTTGAACTAGGGGCTGGTTCAATTGTTTATTCAAAGTTAGGGCAAATTTACATACGATTAAAAGGCAGGTAGGAGTTGTCTGTAAATCAATGTTCATAACCCTGGGACTGCCTTTATTCATTTTCCTTTGAAAAGAAGAACTGGTGAAAGGAATGGAAGATTTTTAAGGCTCCTTATTAATATAACTATGGTCCAACCATGGTTACTCCAGAAAGTCTGAACTTGCATAAGTATATGGATATTAGTAGTTCTTGATAAACTACAGAGATTAAGCTGACCTTTCTGTATCTATTAGTAAAACCTTCTTATGGGTTTGGGTTTAGTCATTCCAGGGCTAGCTAAACAGGCCAAAGCTTCACTCCCACTTCTTAACATTTTAAAGCAGTTGGATCCTTAAACATAAATGACCATTGATGCTTTGTAATTATGGAGACTAGCAGGTTACTAAATTCCATCAGCTTTATCCCATCCACTGACTGCTTACCACAACTTTATTGAAGTCCTGGATTGCAAAATACAGGGCAATAGCAGTAAGTGCATCAGTTATCTGTCAAGAAAAAAAGAAATAATAAATAGAACCCCAATTAGTATAGGAATAATGGAATGCTGCCTGGAGTTCTTGGATGGCAGTGGACTACTCAGTACTGAACTCTTACAAAATCAGGAAGAATCTCTACCCTTTTCCACATACCCTATCTTTGACTACCCAAACATAAGGCCATAGCATAGATCTTACTGGAAAACCCTGGGGATTAGGACCCATCAAGGTCTACTTCAGTCTGGTCTCCCACATCTGCTCCGGAACTGCAAGTCATTTAAGTTTTCTCTGAAATCAAAGAAATAATGCTTTTCAGGCCTGATATATGCCAAGTGTTTACTTTGTTAGGTGCCACTGAGTCAGCTCCAACTCACAGTGACCCTATGACATAATGAAACACTGGCCAGTCTTATGCCATTCTCACAATCCTTGCTATATTTGAGCCCATAGTTGTAGCCACTGTGTCAATCCATCTTGTTGAGGGTCTTTCCCTTTTTAGCTGACCCTCTATTTTACCAAGCATGATATCCTTCTCCAGGGAGTGGTCTCTTCTGACAAATTTAAAAAGGTCTTTTGCAGCAGATTTGCCCAGTGCAATATGACGTCTGATTTCTTGACTGTTGCTTCCACGGTTGTTGATTGTGGGTCCAAGTAAAATGAAATCCCTGACCACTTCAATCTTTTCTCCATTTAAAACAATGTTGCTTATTGGTCCAGTTGTGAGGATTTTTGTTTTCTTTATATTAAGTGTAATCCATACTGAAGACTTTGATCTCCATCAGTAAGAACTTCAAATCATCTTCACTTTCAGCACGCAAGGTTGTGACATCTGCATATCACAGGTTGTTGAGGAGGCTTCCTCTAATCCTGATGCCACGTTCTTTATCATATAGCACAGCTTCCTGGATTACATGCTCAACACACAGATTGAATAAGTATGGTGAAAGGATAAAACCCTGACACACACCCTTCCTGACATTAAACAACACAGAATCTCCTTGTTCTGCTGGAATGACAGCTATGTACAGGTTCCTCATGAGCACAATTAAGTGTCCTGGAATTCCCATTCTTCGCAATGTTATAGATAATTTATCATGATCCACACAAACGCCTTTGCACAGTAAATAAAACAAAGGTAAACATTTTTCCGGTATTCTTTGCTTTCAGCCAAGAGCCATCTGACATCAGCAATAATATTCCTAGTTCCATGTCCTCTTCTGGAAGTTCCCTATCAATATCCTGCTGCAACTGTTTTTGAATTATCTTCTGCAAAAATTTACTTACACGTGTGGTATTAATAATATTGCTCGATGGAATACTATGCAACGCTAAAGAATAATGTAGAATCTGCAAAACACCACATAACGTGGATAAACTTGGAGGACATTATGCTGAGCGAAATAAGTCAGTCACAAAAGGACAAATATTGTATTAGTCCGTTATTGTAAAAGTTAAGGAAAGGTTTATATATTGGAGGACATTTTCTTTGTTGGTTACCAGGGGTGGGAGGGAAGGGGAGGGAATGCTGTTAGATAGATAGAGATAAATATTGATTTGGGTGAAGAGAAGGGCAATGTACCAAATGTGAGTGACCAATATGGCAGCACTGAGGATGAGAAAGACAGAGAGAGTTACATGGGCAGTACAAACAACAAATATGAACCCCTTTGCAAATACAATACTGAGTTGTCAATGAAAGCAAACATGGGTATAGGGACGGATAGATGGGTGAACAAGCTAAACAATTATGTATGTCTAAATGGAGAGTGTATCCAAGATCATATACAGGGTTGGCAGACAATGGGCCTCTCAGGGTGCAGAAGAGTATGAAGGGATGGACACTGGGAGGAGGTAACTATGGGGAGGAAGTGGGAGGGGAGCTGCTGCATTGTAAATTTTGGTCAATGACATGAGACAAAGTATATGTGAACTGCTGTATGAAAAGTGAATTTACTCTGTAAATCTTCACCCAAATCCTAATTTAAAAAAATAATAATAATAATAATATTGCTCAACAATTTCTACATTATGTTGGATCCCTTGGCAAACAGTAAGTCACTGTAATTTTTTGTTGAGGCGCTTTTCCTTTGTATATTCATTTGGAGAGACTCTGTGGGCTCCAAAGGTGGGTTAGCTGTTATTTTTATGGAAGCACTTGCCAGGCCTGGATTTTCTGCAATACAGCCAGGTGGGTTCAAATAAGCAACCTGTGGGTTACTAAACCAAAATAAAAATCAAACACACTGCTGTCGAGTCAGATCCAACTCACAGCAACCCCTCCTTAGGTTTCCAAGGCAGTATCACTATGGAAGTAGATTGCCCAACCTTCCTTCCAAGGAGTGGCTGGTGGATTTGAACCGCCAACCTTCTGGTTAGCAGTCAAATGCCTTAGGCACTACGCCACCACAGCTCCTTGTGGGTTACTAGCCAAGTGCAAACTGTCTGTGCCACCCAGGGACCTTTAGTCAATATAATTTTTAAGGAAGATGTCAGTGGACTGCCTCTATGTTTCTTGACACAGATTTTCAACCCTAGATTAAGCAAGTGTTTCAAATTATTATGCTTTGCAAAGTTCTTGCCTCTGAAAGTCTCATCGGGTCTATGTGCTCTTCCCTAATGACTCACAGACTCACTTGATGGAATGCTTAGGAAATTTAAAATTCTCGCTACACTAGCACCATAATTAAAGCTAACCATAAAATCTTGAAGCTAGAAAATCCAAGACTACATAGTCCAGAACCCAAATTCTAAAAAGAATAAGGAAATAGAACTGGCCAGGTGGCAGAAACTATTCCTCACACTTACATAATACTGTCACAGTTCCATGAATTCAAATTAAAGATATAAAGTTTTTGCTTTTATTTTCTGAGAACTCTTGAACTTCTAAAACAGATATTTTTCCTTACAAACAAGATAAATAACTGAAAAACTAAAAATAAGTACATATACATTTTATAAGAAAGGTTACTTACCATAAATACCAATTCAGCATAGTCAATCAGGAAATGAAAGAGGTATATTATTAATGGAGTCTACAAGAGAAAAACAAACAAACAAAAATATATTAAGTTAAACCTTACTATTAGTTTCCAGAGACGGGGGTAGAAACAAATTATTCTGTCAACAAAAATCACTTTCCTTCCTAGAATACTGTTCTATGCTATTTGGCCTGATCATTTTGTGCCACTGAAACTATTTGCTGAATTGAATAAAGGGAATAAATAAAATCTGACTTGTGTTAAGGAGCTTTGGTGGCACAGTGCCTTAGGCATTTGACTGCTAGCCAGAGGTTGGCAGCTCAAACACACCAGCCACTCCTCGGAAGGAAAGCAGGGAAATCTACTTCTGTCAAAATTTACCACCGCAGAAACCCAATGGGAGTCACTATGAGTCGAGACTGACTCAATGGTAATGAGTTTGGTTTTGGTTTGGTTTTGTGTTAAATATCTGTTGAGGAACCATTAACACACTAAAGGTATGAGATGAGCTTTATTTCCAAGACATATATAATGGCTGTCTTAGTTATCTACTGCTGCTATAGCAGAAATGCCAAAAGTAGATGGCTTTAACAAACAAGAGATTTATTTTCTCACATTTTAGGAGGCTACAAGTCCGAATTCATGGCACCAGTTCTAAGGGAAGGCTTGCTCTCTCTGTTGGCTCTGGGGGAAAGTCCTTGTTACCAATCTTCCCTTGCACCAACAATCATGTATCCATTTGGCAGAAGATATTTCTATGTATGTATTTCTATATGCTGTAAATATATCCATGTATATAGTAGAGCAAACGGAAAAATTATAAAAACTTCTTAGACATAATCAACACCTTGCAGGAATGAATCCTAGCCTTGGGGACATAGGACCACAGTCTCACAGATCAACTAAGTCAACGGGCATAACACAGTTCACAAAGACTATGTTCTATACCTAACTGTGGTGAATAGTGACAGGGGCCTTAAAAGGTAGTGAGCAGCTATCTAAGACAACTACTGGCTTTTTTTTGTTTTGGTGGAGCAAAAAAGAGGGAAGAAAATCAAAGACTCAAGAAAACAATTAGTCCAAAGGACTAATGGACCATGCGAAGCACAACCTCTACTACCCTAAGACCAGAAGATGGTGTCTGGCTACCATCAACTTGACTGCTCTGGTTGGGACCATAGAAGATCCTAGACAGAAAGGGAGAAAAATGTAGAACAAAATTCAAAATCTAAAGAAGACCAGACTTACTGGTCTGACAGAGACTGGTAGAACCCCAGAGACTGTGTCCTTTAGACATCTTTCAAAACTGGAACTGAACCCATCCCTGGGATCACCTTGCAGCCAAACAACAGACAGACCTGTAAAATGCACAATAACACTCACAAGGAACACACTCCTCATAATAAACAACCATGAGACCAAATGGGCAGCATTTACCCAAAAACAAAGCTCAGAAGGCAGGAAGGCATCTCACTCCAGCAATAAGAGCAAAGTTCAACAATACAAAAAACAACAAATGCTGATAAGGGTGTGCAGAGATTGGGACTCTCATGCACTGCTAGTGGGACTGTGAAATGGTGCAATCATTACAGAAAACAGCATGGTGCTTCCTTAAAAAGGTGCAAACAGAAATACCATTTGATCCACCAATTCCACCGTTGTTGGTGTTGTTAGGTGCCATCAAGTAGGACCTGACTCACAGCGACCGTTCTTTGGGTTTCCGAGGCGGTATCACTATGGAAGTAGATTGCCCAATCTTCCTTCCAAGGAGTGGCTGGTGGGTTTGAAACGCCAGCCTTCTGGTTAGCAGTCAAGTACCTTAGGCACTATGCTATTAGAGCTCCCAGCAATCCCACTACTAGGTATACAGATCCTAAAGAGCTGGCACATGAATAGATATATCCAAACCCATATTTATCATAGCACTATTCACATAGCAAAGAGATAGAAACAAACTAAGTGCCCATCAATAGATGAATGGGTAAACAAACTATGGTACATACACAAAATGGAATACTATGCAATATTAAAGAATAATGAAGAATCTGTGAAGCACCTCATACCATGGATGAACTTGGAGGACATTATACCAAGTGAAATAAGCAATCACGAAAGGACAAATATTGTATGAGTACCTTATAATAAAAAGTCAAGGAAAGGAAACATTCTTTAATGGTTTCCAAGGAGGGGAGGTGAAGAAAAATTACCAACTAGGTAAGAGACAAATATTAATTTGGGCAAAGGGAAAGGCAATATATAAAAAGTGTGTGACCAGCACAATATCACTAAGGAAAAGGAAAACATGGAGAAGGGTACAAGAGTTACAAACAACAAAGGTAAATACTACTACATACACAATCCTGTATTATTAGTAATAACAGATATTAATCCATGAGTATATACATAGGTAGACAGGCAAGATGATTAAGTATGGGTAAGTGAATGGGACTACACTCATGACCATATATAGTTTTGGCAGATGATATTTTCCCTTTAAGCATTTGTATGTGCTATAAAAACATAAACTTACATAGTATAGCTAACGGTGGGCAAAGTTATGAAAACTTCTTAGCTATAATCAAACACCTCGTGGGACTGAGTCACTGGGCCTGTGGGCTCAGGACCATAGTTGTGGGGGACATCAAAGCCAATCAGCATAACACGGTCCACAAAAACTATGCTCTACATCTTACTTTGGTAAATAGGGACTGGGGTCCTAAAAGCTTGTGAGTGGCCTTCTGTCACCAGGGTCTGAGAATTTCTCAGAGCAGGCACTCCAGGTGCTCCACTCTCAACTCTTGTTTCTTGGTGGTAAGAGGTCTCTCAGATCTCTGCTCACTGTAATCTCTTTTATATTTCGAATGAGACTGACTCAAAATACAACCTAATACTGTAGGTTGTATCCTGCTTCATTAATATAACCACCTCTAATCCTGTCTTATTAACTTCATAGAGGTTAGAATTTACAATACATAACATAACACATCACAAAATGGAGGACAATTATATATACTGAGAATCTGGTCTAGCGAAGTTGACAAATATTTTTGGAAGACACAATTCAGTCCATAACAATGGCCAAGGGAAACCCCATAATGGGACCAACATTGTTGAACAAATGAATTGGTAAATGGTTTCCCTTCTTCTGTTCTCTGAGAAATTTATATATGATTAGTGTTGTTTCTTCCTTAAATATTTGGGAACATTCACTGTGAAGTCATCTGGATCTGAGTTTTCTCTGAAAGAAGATTTTTCATTACAGATTCTATCTCATTCACAGATAAGCACTATTCAGATTTGCTAGTTTTTCTATGTCAATTTAGGTGAATTTGTTTTTCTAGGAATTTGTCCATTTTATCAAAATTTTCAAATTTATTGGCATAAAGTTGTTCAAAATATCTTATTTTTCAGTGTCTACATGATCTACAGTGAGGTTCTCTTCTCCTTTTCTGATACTGATAATTTGTACTTCTCTTTTCAACTTGACATAAATCTCTCAAATCAGTCTTTTCAAAGAACCAACTTTAGGATATGCTGATTTTTTCTATTATATTTTTGTTTTCTGTTTCATTAACTTCTGAATTTAACTGTATTCTTCAACATTTTCTGGTTTTAATTGCTTTTCCTTTTTTAGTGATACTTAGTGCACTGACTTTTAGGCTTTTGTCTTTTCTAATGCATTTGTTTAAGCTAATAAATTCCTCTTTGAGTATTGCTTTAATTGCATCACACAAGTTTTGTTCTGGATGCCTAGTGCCACTCTGACAAGAACATACCAGAAATGGGATGGCCTTAACAAACAGGAGTTCATTCTTACAATTTGGAGGCTTTAAGTCCAAGTTCCAAGTGCCAGGCTCTAGGGGCTGGGTGAAAGCCTCTCAACCTTGGGGTCCAGCTCTGTCTCCTGCTCCCGGCCCACTGGAGCTAGAGGCTTTTCTTCACTCAGACAGCTGCTGGCTGCTGAGGCTGAGAAACCCCGAGGTTGACAAGTAAAAAGGCACAGTCCCCATGTTACCACACCACACGGCAGGCCATTAACTTAGGTCCATTGTAAGTCCCAAGGACGGCAGAGAATAGCAGGCTGCTGAGCAACGACATGGCTACATACAGGGTCCAAGCGTGCCATAGGCTAGAGACCATTCCCAAAGCTCCTACTTATATACAAGAAGCAGACCACATCTCAAAGGCAGCTACTCAGCTGTTGTGGTAGATCCCACCATGAAGTTGATTGCCAGTCTCATCATGGGGAATAACTACCACCAGCTGCCCAGCCACTCAACCAGGCCCAGCCAAGTTGACACAAAAACTTAACTACCACAAGTTTTAATATGTTGTTTCTCATTATCATTCAGCTCAAAATATATTCTGATTTGCACTGAGATTTCTTCTTTAACTGATTGGATACTTAAAAATGAACAATGGTTAATTTCCAAATATTTGGAGTTTTTTCATTTATATTTTTACAATTGGTTTCTAGCTGCAGTATAGTAAATTTCTTAGTGTGGCTTTTGTAGTCAGAAGTCTTTGTAAACTCCAATGTGGAATTTGCTGTGAGCAACTTAGGAGCTCCTGATTGTAAAAGTTATCCACCTGGGGTATTTCTGTTGGGCGGGGCACAAAGCAATGTTCTGGGAGGTTCACTCTCTTTCAGGTGCTTAGAATTCTGATGTTATGATTGGTTAGTTTGGCCACTCTGCCAGGCTCAAAAGGAGGCCTCCTAGACGTAGAAGTCTCTCTCTGACTACTGGCTGAGGAAGGACGCAGTCCTGAGAGACACGCACTGCTGGGAAAGAGACGCAAGAGACACGCATTGCTGAGAGAGACACCAAGGGACACGCACTGCTGGGAGAGACTGTGAGAGACTGTTGGCTGAGAGATGGCAGGCTGGGAGAGAGACTGAACATTTTTCCTGAACTTAAATTGTAGCCTGGTGCTTCCCTAATAAACCCCATAATTTGTGAGTTCTGTGTGGCCACTGCAGTGAATTGTCGAACCCTGAGCAGAAAAGTCGTGAGTGCTGTGGGAGGAAAGGTTGGTGCCAAGGTTGGTGAAAG